CATCGCACTTCAGTGGATCTTTCTACATGGTGGTTAAAAAGCATTTTTCTAGCACAATTATGACATGCTTAATATGGTTAAAATATAGTGACAAGGCCATCTTTCCGTTCAATACTTAAAAAAATGTTTACAAAATCGGCAATTTTGAACTAAAAAACGCTCAAAATGAGGAATATTCTAGGCATCGCACTTCAGTGGATCTTTCTACATGGTGGTTAAAAAGCATTTTCCTAGCACAATTATGACATGCTTAATCTGTTTAAAATTAAGTGACAAGGCCATCTTTCCGTTCAATACTTGAAAAAATGTTTACAAAATCGGCAATTTTGAACTAAAAAACGCTCAAAATGAGGAATATTCTAGACATCGCACTTCAGTGGATCTTTCTACATGGTGGTTAAAAAGCATTTTCCTGTCAAGTGTTTGCGTAAGCAGCATAGATTTTCACAAAATCAAAAATAGTCCTAAAATAAATCCTGCACAAATTCGGCCTGCTGGGTTGGAGATAGATCAGTCAGCTGAATTTCTCAAGAAAGTGGAAACCTTTGTTGAGAAGATTGTAGTGAATTTGTGCTTTGAGAATCTGAAAAGAACCTGAGAACAATTTCTGCTCGAGCCTTGTACAGTTGCCCCGTTAAGAAATGTAGAATTTTCTTCCTGAAATTTTGAATTCAAAAGTATAATACAAAGATATCAATTGGGAACTTATAACCCGAAAAAATTTCATACAAAAGAGATATCGACCGAATAATAGATTTATTGAAAATTAGAAAGCTGAAAAAAAACAGAAATTATGAGTCTTGCACAGATACGAAGAAAACTGGAAAAATAAACATTTCGAAATCAGCAACCTTAACATGATCAACTCACATCGTCTCCATAAACATTTTCTGTTGTTTCTATTCGAAAAATGGCATCTGCAACATCTGCATTTTCGAATTCATACGAATTGAAAATTCTTTCCAAATTCGCCATTTCCACCGGCAAAGCATTAACTTCCTTATTGAAAAACGATCGGAGAACGTCCATTCTCTTCTTTTTGAACCATTCGGAAATCTGGAAACGAAAACGATTTTCAGAACATGTCTCGCACAGATTTGGAAATTCGAAATTTCTGATCGGGGTAGCATTTTTTAAGTTCATAATATAATAACAATCAAGTTGAAAAGTAGTGCTCACCTTGCCGAGCAATCCACTTGTTTTCATTCTCATTTGTCTCATCACGTTGGATATTCTGATTTTCAATTGTGGCTACCTCATCTAGCGGGTGGGTGTACAGTGCACTGATTGTTCCTGAGCTTTGGTGGAAGGAGCGATCTGAAAATGTATATATTCTTTAGTTTCTTGAAAACCAACGAAATGTTTAGGGAGACGTTTAAACGTAAGCCGAGTTCGGCAGAGCAGCTGAGCCACGGTAATTACCGTATTTCTTCATATAGAATCCGACCCAAACCGTCTACTCTGAACTCAATTACATTGATTTCTGTGAAAGATATGAAATATCTATCAACTAATAAATTATTTATCTTAATATCACCAATATGTTATCAGTTGACAACTTTTTGATATTTTTTACACGAATCGAGATAATTGAGTTCAAAGATGATGGTTTAGGTATGCTTCTGTCAAGAAAACACGGTAATCTTCATAGACAAGACTTCGAGGGACTTATTTTCTTCATTGTGAAGCCACATTTGCTTTTTCAAGAAAAAATATATTGAATTCGGCTTTTATGGCAAGTTGAAAACTATACAGATTCTACTCACCTCATTGACAGGTTGAGCCTGGATGAATGCCTTATGCTTCTCCCAAGCTTCCAGAAGAGCGTTTCTGTCCTTATAGTGAGTTTTCAGCAGTTTCCCATTGGATTTTTAGAAAATAACTTGAATACTCAGAAAAAGCAAGAAGAATCTTTCAAAATCCATCCATTTTTAGAATTTTTGGAAGAATCATAATATATAGAGAATATGTGCAAGGGTAAGAAAAAAGGAGAGTGTATAGTCAGAAAAATCAAGAAGGAACTTTCCGAAATAAATACAGAAGGATTTCTAGAAAGAACCGAATAAAAGAGAATAAGTAGATGTTCAGAAAAATAAGGGGGACTTTCCGAGCCCATTCATTAAAGGGCTCAACGAAAAGTCCCCCGAAACATGTAGGCTGCTATTCAGTAAGCTGCCAAACGAAGAGAGTGAAATAGATTCGCATTGTCGCCTGTTCTCCAGCAGACGACGCGAGTACAAAAGAAACATA